ATAAGATTATATGCATATACATAACATTATAAATATTTATTATTATTATTGGTAGTACTAGCAGAATTTTTATTTAATAAAAGTCAGGACAAGTATTTTGCTACAAGTATTTTATTTTGTAATGCAACTTCTATAAAAAAACAAATATAAAAAAAAACAATGAACTAATTAACTGTTTTGATACTAATAATGTCTAGTATTACAGTAAGAGGACAAGCTTGTTAGTAACAGAACAAAGATTTTTACCATATGTAAAAACAAAACAAGAAAATAATGCAAGTACCATGTATTCAACATTTTTATCAAGTTAAAACACAATCAGAGAAACTCAAAGTTCTCCCTGTAACAAGGGCCAAAAACATTTGTTTTCTTTATATCAATACTACGCTTTTGTTGAGTTTGCTGACCAGTGGCTGTGTTTTGGGGGTCGAGGGATGATGTTTCAGTTGGGGTCTCTGGAATCTCAGTGTGCCCAAGCACATTCTCAGTTGGTGATATAACTATAACTCTCTCATTTGGCAGGACGTCCTTCAGTGTAGAAACCATGTCATTCAAAGAGAACCCTATGTGAGTTAGCTTTTTGTCTCTGGAACCCAAGATGCTCTTTTGGTAGTTCAGCTCACAGCGAATGACCTCACGTATATGCGCATGGCTTGCCCCTTCCAGTTTTGTGAGCAATCTTTCAACATCTTGCTTGCTTTTACATGGGCCACCGTATTTTGAAACTGCTCCAACAATCATTTTCCTATAAATGTGATCCTGAGCTTTTTGCTTTAGTCTAGACACCTTCATTTTTTTTGCGGCATTGAGATTTGCTCCGTCAAAGATGGAGTAGCATTTTTGAATGGTTTTGGCAGGTGACAGTGTGACCACTGCTGATGTAGGTTCATTTGTTGTCTCTCGGGAAGCAGGTTCTTGTTCTGCATTTTCGGAAACTGAACCCTCGGTCCGACCAAGAGTTTTATCAAGCCTGTTCTTCTCATAAGGGTACGCATGACCAAAGGGGTACTCGCCCATCAGCTGTGAAAATGTGCAGTTTGCCATTTGAACGGCTAGATCTGTTGGAAGATCTTTGCAGTGTTCGCCGCCAGGCAAGAAATCTTTAAGATTGTCCTCGAGTACAGCTGCGAGGGCTTTCATCATCCTCTGTAAGCAAGCTTTTATCAGAGTACCAAACTGGTTCTCTGCATTATCACGGCAAAATCTGAACACTCCTTCGAAAGTCCCCTCTTGCATTGGAACCTGTAAGAATACATTCACAAAAGCTTCTGGTTGCAAAAGGCAACTCGCATCTTGCGACCATTCCAGGAGCTTTTCGTACAGGCATAGGATGTATCTACTGAAAAGAGGATATTCTCCATCGCTCTTCAGAAGCTGCCAAAAGGGTCCCAAGACTTTAAGGTACACAACAGCAACCACACAGACCAATGCCTGCAAAGCCTCGTCGTTTCCGTCAGCATTGACGCTCTCCAACAGGATATTCGAGTCGTCGTTCAGGAGCTGCAGATCAGATACAAAGAGAGCAACATCTTCATGATGGTGAATGAGTCCAGCGGCTGTTTCAAAGTAGTTAATGATACGATTTGACCTATAAATAGGCAGTTTGGAAGTGTTTTTTCTTTCCAGGCAAAAAGCAAGCCAGTGCCTGCGGTAATTTGGGTTGGTCTCCTCGCTTGGACATAACATTTCCGAAGCCATGTGAATGTAACGGGTCACTGCGCTCTCATCGAAGTTGACAAAACTCTGAAATCTGGGGTGCTTGTCGCGTCCGAGTTTCTCACCTGTGGTGTTCACTATATCTTTTTCAAATGACATCATTTGCTGTTCAATTACATCAATGAGTTCGAAAAGGAACTGGCAGATGTAACGCAGGAAATTCAGCGGTGGCACTAGTGGATGGGCGCTTCCTTTGACTTTGTCATCGAGGGTTCTTAGGTTAGCATCTTCCTTTAGCATTGCTGAGAAGTGATTTTGAAGCAGATCCAGTGAAACCACTTTAGCAGCGTCGTTCTTTCCTCTATTCATGTCTGCAATCTTTTGCCAAGACAGCACAGAAATATCAAGAAGTGTTACATTGTCGCCCGTGTCGGTTCTCGGGTCTTCTTCCACATCTTTCAGTGACCGTATTGGTGTTTGATGGCTCTGTGATCCCTGTTCCCTTTTAACACCGAATAAATGGGGCATTTGCTTGGGCTCATGATGAGTTTTCACAGTCACATCTGTCTGCGAAATATGGAAGTGCTCATCTTCCTCCTTGACAAAAGAGGTAGGTTTATGCCTAGAAATGCGGCGTTTCTTCCTCAGATGTGCTTTGATCATTGCCACCCTCCTGTATTCAATATCATCAGCATCAGCTTCAGGAGCAAGATCAAATGGACTCTGAAGAAACTCATCCAGAAATCCGCGGCTCCTCTTTCGGCTCCTCTGATTGTTGCGGTACTGTATTCTGAAATTCTTGAGACTTGACCGTAGGAGCCTATAGGCTCTTTGGATCTTGCCATCACTACAAAATAAAGGCTCAAAGTTACGAATCCAGGACACCAAGACAACCGGGTCTAATTTCTCTCGCGAAATAAAATTAGTCAATTCAAGAATGAGACCGTTTGTGAGACCAGTTAATTTTGCACGATCAGAAAAGTCAGACATTTCAAGTAAATCTCTTCTCCCGATTCCGATACTATCACATATAGGTCCAACAAATTCAAAGTTGACATCTGACTCAAGAAAGTTCTGCCTGGCATCGCCAGTTAAGCTCAAAGCTGTCGTGGTGTTTCTCTCAATCAAGCTTCGGAAATCCGCTGACTGAAACATTGGGACAATCTTTTGAAGCCACTGAATTAAATCAACCCATGAAATATCTTGCTCCTCTCTCATCAGTCCAACCTGAACCAACATGCGGATTTTCCAGGGCTTTTCATCCAGCTCCAACAGCTCTCCGTAATGAGCACCAAGGAAGTCGTCAACAAGCTTGGAGTAAAAATCATCCTCTGCAAGACATAGTTTTCAAATGTAAATAAGCAGATACTTTAAAAAAAAAAAAAAAAAAAAGTTGTTTGTTTTGATAGTAAGTCATTGAATACAAAACAAAATGTAGTACTCACTAAGCTCAGCAGCAATGGTCTTAGCACTCGCACTAGAGGAACCAAAGTCTTGCAGGTCCTCCATAGTTGAACATCAAAGTGGCTTGGCTTGTTTTTTAAACCATCTGGTGGAGCACGCTTCCAAATAAAGGCCAGATAAATGTTTTAGTAATAACGACCAAAGAATGATAGTCCACAGCTGATCTTAACCGTGCAACAAAGATTATCCTTCAGGTTCCTTTTTTTTTTTACCATGTTACAACAGGTGTACCTGCCTGAGACTGTAGTGTTCCTATTGGTATTACAGGTTTATAATCATTTTCAACTTAAAAATTAATCACTCATCTTCTGCTTTTTCAATCTTTAGATTTACAAGACATATCCTTTGGTATATTACATTATTAAATGTGTTTCCTTAAAAGTACACCATGGTAAGTTTATGGCAAAATATAACAATCGATTCTAAATATAAATAGTAAATACAATACTCTAATATACAACTGTAGCTTGGTATTAGCCAATGCTGTCATCAGAAAATTAATTACAATGACACTTTTCCTACACTTTTTAAAGGACATCCCATATTAATTAATGACCTTAATTTTACAGTCGTGATAATATTTACAGTAATGGTATCTGTGGTTTCCTTGGTAATATATTGTAAGGGTTATGAATTATATAAGTGTTATGATTACTTGTTGTGCGCGTCACACAAAAGCACAATAAAACGAATGAATAGAATTCATGGGATAAAAATAACACTGAAAGAATGGTGCAAAAGTTCAGTTGCATCACTGCTAGCTTTATTAACATAAATCAAGGTCACATATTCGGTCAACTTGGCAAGTTATTTATTAGTTATCCTGGAGTAATCAGGGAACAAAATGTTCACGCCTCATTCGTGCACGCGGCTGATTTTGCAAGAAAGGTGCTGTATTATCGACTTCTTGCTATTATTGACTAAATATCTATTTTGCTTGTTTTGGTTTTACTGTTTGAAATCTCAAGCACTAGGGCTGGAAACGAGAACATACGTGGTTTGTTCTCTCTAGCGCGCGAGGATGCGTCAATGCACGTAACGTTATCGTGAAGTTTGAAAACATGCTGTCTGTGTTTGATTGCTATTACTGTGGGAGATTACCATTAATAAGACGTTTAAACAATGTTATGTAGCAAATATGTTTTACATTTAAATAAGCATTCAGAAAAAACATACATTTATTCATGTATTTACATCAAGTGCGTTTAAGTGCGAAATCTCGAAATGTACTCACCGACTTATTGTTCGGCTGTAGTATTCTGTGCAGCGTGTTTCTCTCTTTGGACCCTTTGCAGTGTGTAGAGAGAGTCGTGGATTCTGATTCAGCAATACTTTTCTTAAAAACGGAGGAGCGTCTACTCTATATCATGGACTTCCGTGTTGAGTCACGTGTGCATCTGAAGAGTCTTTGATTGGACATATTCCATGCATTCTTTTTCGTTAAAAAGGCTATGCTAGTCCACCTTGCTTCAGCGAATCGGTTACAAAGAGCCGGTTCAGTGATTCTTTTGCGTCATTACGTAATTGCGTCATCACATCGACCCCTGGCCAACTAGTGTATATAATATTTTTGTATTCTTATACCTCCGGTTTCACAGACAAGGCTTAAACCTAATGCCAGACTAAAATCTAAGTCTGAGCTGTTTCAACTGAAAGAAACTTGCTCTGACTGACCTTAAAATATATCAGTGCCTTTATTTTGTCTCAAAATGCACACCAGTAATGTTTTTTCTAAGGCATGTTTATAAAAATGACTTAAATGTCCTAATTTAATTATGGCGTAATCCTGGCTTATTCTAAGCCCTGTCTGTGAAACCAGGCCTTAATGTCTAACTGAATGATTGTGTACTTTGTGGTTTACACTCCGACATGATTGTAATTTAAAAAATGTTTGTGCAAAAATAATCTGTCCAAACTGTTCCAAAAAAAACAATATGTAGTTACTTTTCTTAGGTTTCTTTTCTATGAACTTCCTTTAATAAAAGTATCATAAAACATTAAGTCCATTTTAACGTAAATCTAGTTCTAAAATGTTTAATAAAATGGTATTAAAATGAATAGAAATGGAAAAAAGAAAGAAAGATTCTTGCACAATGTTGTTGACTCGCGAACCCATCGGACCGATTTAGTCCGAGTTGTGAATGAATCGTTCATTCAGGGGTAATGCGCGAAATTGGTGCGATCCGCCAAAAAAAGGGAAGAAGAAGAAGAAGAAGAAGAATCGTTCATTCAGAATCGTGAACAAAAGATTCAGACATCATTTGCAAACCATCGATTAGAGTCATAAGATTTGCTGACGAATCTGACGTCTTTAGCCTTTGTATCAGATATCAAACAAACAACGTATATTCCATTTAAAAAACGACAACGTTTCTGTTCGCATCAGCATGCAGAAATAGTTGTTATAATCGTTTATTTTATGAAGAGCTGTACGGTGTGCTCTCGTGTTATTGCCTCCTTAATACTAGTCGCTTCGGATAAAAGCATCTTCTGAATGAAGAAATGTAACTAAAATTCTTTTGCAAAAAAAAGTTAGAATCTCAAACAAGAATGGGCAGGCTGGGCAGATCTCTCATCAGCTATAGAGCATGTAATAATCCATTGTATGGCATATGATAGGGAAAGGATTCAATTATAAAACGATTTAAATTCTGTTGGCATAAATTCTTTAACTTTGCAAAATATACTTAACAGTTCTTACAAAGGATATTAATTTTTTTTTTTAAAGCAACAAAGTTATATAAGAAAATATAGAAAGGTTGGGTAGGTGCTATGAATTTTTTTTCTGTCTCTTCTGATATGAATGCCTCACACTCCATCCCAGTAGGTGGCGGAATATGCACCAAAGCTGGTTTGCCATCCGCCATTAAACATCAAAGAAGAAGAAAATCACTGTGTACGAAAGCGGATATGACGACATTCGTTGACCAAAGAAAGCGCACCATGGCGCTCGGATAGCAACAACAAAGGAGTAAGAGGTCCGTCGTGCAATTATGTTTTAGTAATGGTGCGACAAACTCTAGATTAATTTGCACGACTGTCCAGCTTTTCAGCAAAGACCCGACAAACTGCTGCTGAATCTGTTTGCAGCAGTACATAAAGAGGAGCTATTTTTTCAGTCAGCTATCTAAGTCGTGCTTTTGCCAATTTTATATATTTTGTTTACAGTCTCATTAATGATGTTTTTCAGCGAGAAGATTTTTAGGGACCAACAGTAAGGCATGGAAAGCACAATAATGGAGGTATCCAACTCGAACACAGAGCCCGAGTCACTCCAGGCTTCTTCTGCAGAAATGTCAACCACTCAATCCAGCACAGCTGGGACATCCCAGTCTGCACCTGCAAAACGAAAAAGACTTTTGAAAAGAAAAGCGGATTCCGTTGCGGATGACAAAAGCAAAAAGAAAAAGAAAAAAACTGTAAAACGAACTACAAGACCAAATTACACCGTCCAGGAGGGAGAGGACATGCTTTTGATTATATCAAATATAAACAGTAGTGACAGCATATGGAAGCCCAAGCGGAAGGGATGTAAGAAAAAGAAGATAACCGCAAAAGGCAAGAATAAAACCTCTGCTAACAAAACGAAAAAAGCACCAGTAAAAGCGAAAATCCCCAAAGTCACAGAGCAAGCTATTGATAAAAATGTTGATTTGGAGAGTGTTAATGCTGATAGCTTTGACCGCTGGGGTCAAAGTTTGCCAATAGAGGTCCTGGTGAAAATCTTTCAGTTTGCAGTTTTCCAGGATGGAGCCGTACCTTTTCTGTGCAGGTGAGGCATGTACTCTGTATTTGTGATATTCAGTGTCTGTCCAACCTTGCTACAGATACTATATTTGCTTTATGTTTATTGTTCATTTGTTTGCTGTCTTTAAAGGGTTGGCAGAGTTTGCCGTCTATGGAATGGAGCTGCATCCTCTCCGATCCTGTGGCGTAGGGTGTCAGTTGGCTACTGCTGGATTGAACCCGGTAAGAGTCAATTACCTGGGACAGAACAGAAGATTAGGAACACTATAGACTGGCTAGCTGAAAACAGGTCAGTGGTTGAACCAAACAAAAGTATTTTTTTAATTGGAAGAACTTGAAGACTTATGAATCTTTTCAATGTGAGATAATGCATAGCAAAGCTCCATCTATGCAAAAAAGTTTTTTTTATGTATGTCTCTCGCAGATTGTCTCAGTTGAGAGAGTTCTCCCTTTGCCACTGGAAAAAACATGTTGATTATGTGATTCAGGTAATAATAATCCATCTGCTGTGAAATTTTGTGACTGCTTTCTGAATCTGTTTCTGATCATCTCTGTGCTCTGTTTTTCTAGAAAGTTTCACAATCATGCACCAATCTTCAGTCTCTCAAGCTGTCTTACTGCACGGGAATGACAGAAACAGCCTTCCAAAACCTTGGTGCTCAATGTCGATCATTAGAGAATATAAATTTGCAACACTCAGAGGTTTGTATGCAAACCGTTTGCTTAGATTTGAAGGGACAGTTACTTAAAAATTAAAATTCAGTTTTATTCACCCTTATGTCATTCCAAACCTTTATGGCTTACGTTCTTCTGTGGAACAGAAAAGAAGAAATTTAGATGGACTTGCAAATTATGGACATATTATTTACTTTATGATATTTTTGTGGGTTTTGAAAAGTTTCGGTTCACTGTGCATGGAAAAGAGTGATCATTATAGTCAGTATATAGTCACATACTGTATATTAAAACCATGGGGTCACAGTCAAAAGGGTATTGGAATGACATGAGAAGTAAATGATGACTGCATTTTCTTTTTAATGTCAGCTTTTACTTTTTAAGTATTTTGTATTGTTAATTTTTTTTTTTTTTTTAAATATAGTTTAATGTTGATGGTCTGGTGTCCTTCATTGAGGCATACGGCAACCAAATAAAGAAAATTTACTTCACACACAGCACCAAGAGTGACAAACTACTCAGTGCTTTGTCTGTAAGTTGATATTTTTACTATTTACTTTTAATATGTTTACTTCCTCTGCCATTTAAAGATGATATAAACTTTATATAACTTTATTATATAAAAGTATGTGAATTTGTAAACTTTGTCTGTTTCTGATGATGCAAATGTCTCTGAAATTAAAGAAAGGTTGCTGTCCTGAGCTCATGCTGCTGGAGATCAATACTAAATTAGATGGAGGATACTGCCAGCTTCCCATCTGTATTCAGGCTTTGCAGATTGGATGCCCTAAACTTCAGGTATTAACCTAAAATGTGCTGTGTTCGTCATGTACACAAACCAAATCTATTATCACTCCTTATATTTTTTTAAAATTGAATATGCCCTAGTTTCATTAATGAATTGACATGTCATTAATTATGATTTAGGACCAAGAAAAATAGTGTGCAGCGATTGCATAGCTGGCATTTTTCAGTTGAGTGCAGAGTTACTATTTGAAATTCTAAAAAATATTTGCACACATTCCTCTTATTAATGGTGACATGTTTCAGAATGAGAACTTATAAAAATGGTACTACAAATATAAAGTATTATAATCCTATTTTTTCTTTTCTTTTAAATTATTTTGCAATTTAGACTTTTAGGTTGATGAATGTCACTCCAGTTCCTAAAACGATCCGCAACACACCGAGTTCAACATCTGGTTTTCCCATGCTAGAGGAGCTGTGCATTGCCACTTCCTCTCACTCTTTCATGACTGACGGTGACCTGAACAATGTGCTCCATGGCTCCCCTCACCTGCGTGTGCTGGACCTACGTGGTGGCTCTCGCATCACAGCCACTGGCCTCTATGCTCTGCCTTGTGAGAGTAAGTCTTGATTTTGAAATAAGAAAGTGAACATCGATGTGCCTCACACAGTAGTGAAAATGTAATATAAACCACACACACATATGAACATCACATGGTTTGATGGACTTTCCCCTCATTTTATTCTTATAGTTTACAATGTGGAAGGATCTGATCATACAATATGCTGCTTTTCCTGTAATTTGCTGTCTTGTCTTGTGTAGGACTGGAGTGTCTGTATTGGGGCCTCTACTTCAACAGCAATACCATGGTAGCATCCAAGAAAGGCATACACATGCTTGCCCACAAATGGAGCAGCACCCTCAGGGAGCTTGATTTGGCCAACCAACCATTTTCAGAAGAAGACATGGAGATTGCCATGGGACATCTTGCACATGGTGCTGGAGTCGATTTGTTTCGCTCCCTGAACCTCAGTGGAACTAAAATCACTTCATCTGCACTCAGGTAATGATGTAGCTGTGCACATACATTTAGTACCTGCCAAAATATCTTTTAAGTGTTTATAAATACACAATAATAGAAAGTGCAGGTATTTTCGTAATTTTTAGTAGATAGTTAAGATGTTCTGATACCATTTTTAATGTTTCACAGGTTACTAATAAGTCAGTCACCAGCACTGAAGTACTTGAATCTGTCTTCTTGCCGGTATCTGCCCAGAGGACTCAAACGAGTATATCACGGTCGAGAAGACATTCAGCTACTACTGGACAAATTAGACTGAACATGTATATATTGCAGAAACTCTGATATTAAATTCAGTTATTTTTAAAGTGTACAAAATGTAATTTCTCTCTCTCTCTCTCTCTCTCTCTCTATATATATATATATATATATAGTTATATTTTATAGCGTTTATTT